CGGTAATAATAAAAAAAGTAGAAGAAAGAGTTGTTCTTTATTTCAAAGTCCAAAATAGATTCTAATATACATAAAACTACGACTATGAGAGTATTAAGGATAATGCTTTGTCGGCGACATAAGTAAAAAGAGAAGAAGAGTCCAGAATCGCAATCCAGAGTCAAGATTAATAAAATAAAAATAAAAAAGGAATGAATGAATAAATGGGGAGTTCTAAACTAAAGAAAAAAGAACAAGGGAACTGAAACAATGTAATAATAATGGGAGAAAGAGAGAAAGGAGAATAAAATAAAAGTAAAGGGAACTGAGACGATGTCCAAAATGAATGAATGGGAAAAGGTGGGAAGAGAAAAGGGAAAAGGAAAAAGAAATAAAAAAATAAAAGGTTCGCGCCCAAAATAAATAGATTTCAAAACCAGCAGTCTGTCGGTAGAGAGCCAATCACCGTCCAATATACACGGGCCGAATGGTATTGAATTCCCGACTGACCGCAAAATATAGATCACTTCCCAACTTGTCATGTGCCCCCCCATTTTCGGTCATACGGGGAGAAGGCAACACCACCACCAAGTCCATCAGTCATTTCTTCTTTCCAGCCAAGCTTCAAAACGTTCCGTTGCCCTTTGCACCATCGTATCTGGGATCATCACCTTTCTTGCCTGGTAATTTCGTAGCCTATCACCATGCACAGCACCGTCTAATCGTCTTCCACCCGGGCCGTTCAACCAATAGGTACCACTATCATTGACCTTGATCACCACCATTGGACCCAACCATTTGTCAGCAAATTTTGAAGCAGGAGTTGCATCCTTCATCAGTACTTGTTCACCGAGTTCAAATCTTTTCCTGAAACCAACCGTAGAGTCATACCTTCGTTTTCTTGCGGCTCGCTTGTCCATCACACGCTGTCTTGCTTCCATCCGTACCTTGCTTACTTCCATCGACATTTCCATCACCCGATCGGCCACTTCGTCCACGATTTTGCCTTCAACAAAATCTTCCCGCGGATTTGGCCAAACGCCTGGGGACCGAAATTCATATCCATATAGAAGCTTGGCAGGAGTTTCCATAGTCGAGTCGTTCTTGGTACACCTAATCTGTCACGAACGTGGTACAGACAAAACGGAGATTGAATTATTACTTCAAGACGGACAAGACAGATTAAGGGATAGTATGCCAAAGTTTCAGGAAGATCTACTTATACAGATGCGATGGAATCAGTAAATGTATAAGAACGAAGACGGAGAGGGAGAAAGAGATTTATTGATAAGATTTGTAAAGACAGAAAGAAAACAAGAGAAGAGGCAGGATAATAACAGGATAACAGATAAAGAAAATAAAACGAGAAGTGCAAGAAAGGGGTTATATTTATACTAAAGGAAATGCTCAGCATGGTGGTACTGCCAAGAAATGCTGAGCAGGGAAAAATGGCGTGATAAAATATGAAAGCAAACTAAAAGAAAATCGTACGATCTTACTACGCCTCCGTTGTAACACCACTTATGTTGTGTTACCCGAGGCTTCGGGGTTGTTTATGACATAATCGCAAAGAGAGCTTCGTCCACATAGTTGTCCCAGTTGTCTTCAGTATCCTTGTCCTTGATGATTTTGGCCAACGTTTGCACCAACGTTTGATTGAGACGTTCACACAATCCATTTGTTTGAGGTCGATATGCTGTAGTGGTGAGGTGACGACATCCTAGCTGCTGTAAGAAACTTCGCACATACCCAGAAGTGAAGTTGGAACCACGGTCAGTGAGCAAAAATTTTGGCAGTCCATGTTCAACCACAATCTTCTTGTACAGGAATTCAGCGGTAGTGACTTCATTGATATTTTCCACAGCCATTGCGATCGGCCACCTTGTCAAATAATCCACTGCCACCAACAGGTATCTATTCCCTTGTTTCGAAGGAAGCACCGGACCAACGGCATCACATCCAACCATTACAAAAGGATCCAAAGGAGGACGAATAGGACGTGCGACTTCATTTCTGGACCTTGGAGGACGAGATCGTAGTTGAAATGTATCGCAAGATTGGACGAATTTTGTGACGCGGTCGATCAAACCAGGGCAACAATACTGTACTTTCATTCTTCTAATGGTGTTGTTGATCCCCATGTGTCCTTCGCTATGTACCATTGCTAAAATCCGAGTAACATTGCCTTCATGTAATAGTTCTTGTCCAACACCACCACCGGCCATGCGCAGATAGAGTTTCCCTTGGTCCAACATGTACTTCTTGGCCATCCTGTAGATCTTGGTCTTGTTTTTCTGATCGCAATCGCGAGGGTACACACCCTTTTCCAAGTAGTTTGACAAAGCCACATAAATAGGGAAGTCCATTTCGTTGAGAATGTCAAATAGATCCACCTCCAAGTGCTTCCAGTATGAGCTTGTCAAAAAAAAAGGTCTTTTTTTATTCCCAAAAATATAAAAGTAAAAAGATAAAAATAAAAGAGTCAAGAAAAGAAAAAAAAAATTCAAAAAGGATTGAGTTGTGTCCAAAAAAAAGATAAAAAGTTCTAAAAAAAATAAAAGTGATAATTTCAAAAAAAAAAATATTGTCTGATCCCCCAAAAAAAAATTCAGAGGATTCTAGAGTCTAAAACTAAAGCTTTCTAAAAATAAAAGTAAAAAATAAAAAAAAATAAAAATGGAATGGATCAAAAGATAAACCAGCAAAAAAAATCCAGTCAGGTCCCTTGAAAAGTCCAAAACAACCATCGATTACACCAACCTCGACAAGGAATCGGCAGCATTCAGTTCGCCTTTCAAATATTCAATTTCAAAATCGTATTCCAGTAAGTATGTCGCCCATCTTGTCACCTTCGCACCGGGATTTTCCTTTTTGAAGATGTATTTCAGTGCAGCATGGTCAGTCCGGAAAATAAATTTTCTTCCAGCCAAAAAATGTCGGTAATGCTCCACAGCCCAAACCACACCGAGAGCTTCCAAGTGAGTAGCAGCGTATCGGACCTCTGGACCACGCAAGGTTCTTGAAGCATAGGAAATCACCGTTTCTTGGGTGGGTTGGTCGACAGGTGATTGAGACAGTATGGCACCCAAGCCCTTCCCGGAAGCATCTGTTGTAAGGACTTGAATCATTGATTGATCAGGGTGAGCCAGAATAGGAGCATGAGTCAGTCTATCCTTCAGTTGCTGAAAAGCGTCTTGCTGTTCTTGATCCCATGAGAAGGCCACATTCTTCCGAACCAGTTTCTGCAATGGCAATACCAGGCGAGCATAGTCTTGAATAAACCTTCGATAATATCCAGTAGTACCCAAAAAGGAACGGATTTCGTCACCACTTCTTGGAGTGCGCATTTCCAAGATCTTGTCGATATTGTTTGTTGTCGGTAGCAATCCATCGCCAGAAACCAAATGACCAAGATATTCGACACTTTTCTTGCCAAAAGCACATTTCTTGAATTTCAGGCGTAATCCAGCGTTCATACACTTCTTGAAGATCAGTTCCAAATGTACTGCATGCTCGGCCAGTGACTTGGAGTATATGATGATGTCGTCAATAAAAACCATGACAAAATCACCAACAAATTCACCCAAGATATCTGTCATCAACCGTTGGAAAGTAGAAGGAGCGTTCGTCAAACCAAATGGCATAACCAAAAATTCAAAAGTCCCAAGCTTTGTCGTAAAACCAGTCTTCTTCACTGAGTCTTGATCCATAGCCACTTGCCAAAAACCCGACGCGGCATCCAAAGTTGAGAAAATGGTAGCACCACCGAGAGCAGCCAACAAATCATCGATGTGGGGGAGTGGGAAAGCGTCCTTCAGTGTCATAGCATTTAGTCGTCGACAGTCAATCACCATCCGCATTCAGGGCACCAATATGACACGGAGGAAGGGGTTTTTATTAATAATTGATCTGCTGAGGTCCTTTTCAACTACTGATCCTGAAAGACTTACTTTTCTGATGTTCAAGTCTAGTAAGTATTCTACTAATATAACCAATATTCCAATATCGTGATTGAACAGATAAAAGAATAACAGAGTAAAAGGGGGTAGGAGAAACAATAGCGCGTCAAAAATAAAAGGTAATAATAAAAAAAAGTAGAGGAAAGAGTTGTTGTTTATTTCAAAGTCCAAAATAGATTCTAATATACATAAAACTACGACTATATGAGAGTATTAAGGACAATACTTTGTCGGCGACAGAAGTAAAAAGAGAAGAAGAGTCAAGATCAATAAAATAAAAATAAAAAAAGAATGAATGAATAAATGGGGAGTTCTAAACTAAAAAGAAAAAACAAGGGAACTGAAACAATGTAATAATAATGGGGGAGGGAGAGAAAGGAGAATAAAATAAAAGTAAAGGGAACTGAGACAATGTCAAAAAGGAATGGAATGGAAAGAGTGGGAAGTGGGAAGAGAGAAAGAGAGAAAGAGAAAAAGTAACGGGGTCCATAAAAATAAATGAATTTAAATACCGCCACAAGATCGCCACACGGCAGGAAAAAACCAACCAGAATCCAGTATTTGACCAACAGCATTAAATTGAATTCCCGACTGACCGCAAAATATAGATCACTTCCCAACTTGTCATTCTGTCGGCTTCGCAAGTGAAACTACCCTAGACAGCCGTGGCGTGCCATTGGTGGTTTTAGCGGGAACCAAACGCCGTATCAAGAGACACTCTTCGTTGGTTCCCAAGTGGCAACGACAACACCAATGATAGTATTTATGTAGTTTCACTTCCCCTTTTCCATAGTTTATATAGTGTAGTTTATATATTTCATTAGTAACCCGTATTCCTATTTGTCCCCCATTTTAAATAACGATAGACATGAAATAGTATAAATACCTATATATTTTATTCTTTAATAAACAATAACTTATTTTTACATTCTAAATCTACTTCCAACTATCTCTAATACTTTACTAAACTAAACTAAGCTAAAGTATTCAACCTATTCCTCTTTTGGCAAGTAATCCCTGACCCAGCTATTTATACTACCTCCAATCTGAAAATTCACGGAGGGCCTCGTGGCGAAATGGATATCGCGTCAGACTTCGGATCTGAAGATTGGGAGTTCGATCCTCCTCGAGGTCGTCTATTTTGCACTATCCAACATATAGATAGTGGCTTAGTTTTTGGTTATCAGGTCGTAACTGGAAATTGTTTTTGTAGTGTTACGTGTTGTGGCTGTTTTTAAGTTTTGTTATGTTACGGCTAATTTGGGTAAGAAGCTTGTAACAGAGTAGTGTTTTTGTAGGTTTTTATATTTTTCTGGGTTGAATAGGATGTCTTGAGTTATCCTTTAGTGTAGCTTTTGCTTGTTTAGAGCTTGAAAATAAATTTGTTCCTTAGGCGGAATTTGAAATATCTTGTCCCTGATTTGGACAAAAATAGATTTGAGAGTAGTGAGCACCAGAACTTTTGTAGATAAAGTCCAACTGTAGAGAAAGTTTATAAAAAAATGAACTTAGAGAAGTAAAATAAAATAAAAAAAGAAAAGTATTGACCTTTGTTGGTTCAATAAAAATAAGTGTATAACACACAGTAAAAATAAAATAAAAAAGAGGACTTGTAGTCAAAAATAAAAGAGGTTTCTATAATCCAATAGAAACAGTAGATAATTTGGTGGTATAATAACCTTTGTACTAAGTTTTATTTGTTAATTGAGAAAACTGATAAAAAACTAAAGAGAAAAGAAAAGAAAAGGATAATAATAAAAAGTTGCGATATTTATACTAAATAATTATAATTGATGTAAGGGTTCTATTTGTGTTTTTCGGTTTTTGTGTATTTTCTATTTTTTTTGTGGTTTCATTGATGGAAGCATTTCATTTTCAAGGTTACACATCTGTAAGGCCCCAACCAATCAGCTGGTTTATGTTGAAAAGATCCGCAGCAATGAGGCTAGCGGTGTCGTTGATGTTGTTGTTGTTGTTGTTGATGTTGTTGTTATTGCTGTTGATGTTGTTATTGTTGTCGTCGATGTTGTTGTTATTGTTGTCGATGTTGTTGTTGTTGTTGTCGATGTTATTGTTGGCATCGATGCCTTCGACAGTTATATGTTACGGGTATTTTTGAGTTTATATGTTGTTGTGGCTGTTTTTAATTTTTGTTATAAGTGAATACCAAATATGTTATGGTAGACTTGATGTTTTTTGATGTTATTTGTATAGTTTGGTATAGATAGAGTAGTATCTTGCACCAAATGTGTCTTGTAATAATTAATTTTTCCTCCTAGTGAGAGTCAAGAGCGATTTTTTTTTTCTGGACGGAATTTGAAATTTGATTTCCTGTGGTCCCTGAATTGACTTTTGTTTATAGAGAGAGCACTAGATATGTACCACACCAAATGTGTATTTGAATATGAGTAGTGAGTTCCAGATATGAGTGTTGTATTTTGCATATGAATGTAGCAATGAAATAAAATAAAGTGTGACATTGATGTAAATCATGCATACTGTAAGTGAAATAAAAATAAATTCAAATACAGCGCTACAATGCAAGGGCTCAGATCATATATGGGTGTCATGATCTGATTTCACTTTTTCATGTCTTTGAAAAAGAAACCCATTTATTATATCAAACCGTAGTAGTAGTTATACTGTTTCATACCATAATCACATCATTATAAAAAGATGCTTGATTTATATCAAATAAAGGTTATCAACATTCTCATCTTATTTTTTATTTTTTATTTTACTTTTATTTTATTTTAAAACCTAAACTACAACAATGAGTTTGGATAGTAAGTAGTGAGCACCAGAACTTTTGTAGATAAAGTCCAACTTGAAATTAGGGCTCTTAACAATACCTAAATGAGGAGTATTGGTATTGATCAATACCATGTTAGCGGGATTAGCAATACCAATACCTTAGCGGGACGGTACCACTTATAAGTATTGGTATTGATCAATACCTCTTAGCGGGATTAGCAATACCAAAACCTTAGCGGGACAATACCACTATTAGGTATTGGTATTGATCAATACCTCTTAGCGGGATTAGCAATACCAATACCTTAACGGGACAATACCAATATCGAGTATTGGTATTGATCAATACCTGTTAGCGGGATTAGCAATACCAAAACCTTAGCGGGACAATACCACTATTAGGTATTGGTATTGATCAAAATTTTTTAGCGGGATTAGCAATACCAATACCTTAACGGGACAATACCAATATTAAGTATTGGTATTGATCAATACCTGTTACTGAGACTAATATATCACAAAAAATCATGCAAAAAATCAAAAAAAAAGAAAATACCCATTTCATTTTGGTGGAAACTAATTACAAAACCATGAAAACTTTTTATTTTTCATCATTAAATAAAGACGTTGTTGTATAAATGATAATGTCTAATTTATTTCCAATAATAATAATAATAATAATTATCTATAATCTAATATAAGCGTGGATTGCTTCAACTAAACTAGGCGTATGAGGAATAAAAAATCATATATACGAATGTTCATCATCGCATGACGTCTCCAAGGTTCTTTTCAATCGATATTTTTCCATCATACAAAATCTGATCGTATCAGGCTTCAATGAGCGGCGAAGAGGGGGGATTGTATGCTTTGCGCTTGAGAATACTCGCTCTACCGGCACACTTGTTCCTAAAAAAAAGATATGTTTGTGTTAGATATGTTTTTTTTTTTTTTTTTTTTTTTTTTTTTTTTTTTTTTTTTTTTTTTTTTTTTTTTTACCTGGCACCGCAAGGTAGTCCCGGGCCATCTTTGATAAAACTGGGAAAAGATCTTGGTTAGCCTTCCACCACCCCAAGACATCACGGGAGACTGCGTTCAGTTCCATTGAGCGACGGTGATAAAGATCAACTTCATTGACTCGTTCTTCAACTCTTCGTGCTGCAATTCGACGACCGTAAGCGTGCTGTAACACTCGTGGTATTGCTTCTCCATTAACCACAGGCGTTTCGTGATCGTCGTTCTGCGGTTGTCCATACTGTTGAGAATATTTTTGGTAATGGTCATCTAATTGCTGTCGACATAATTGAATAAATTCTAATTCCCAGTTATTTCGATCGGTATAATCAATGTTGAGCCCAGGATCAAGTGCTGTCAAAAAAAAAAAATTAAAAATCTGTTTTTTGACCACTCTTTTTTTTTATTATTACTTACAAAAAGCTACCATAGAAATAGGCGAATCGTCTGTCTTGACATAGTATTGTTGTAACTTGGAAAAACATACTTCAGCGGCCCTTTTGAGAGGTGAGTGGTCATTGCTTTGGTTGTCAATAAACTGGTCCAATGCGTCCATAAGAAAATTGTATGCAGGAATAACGATGTTGATGGTTGGATAATCTTGCCCAGATATGAATTTTGTTGCTTCTTCGAAATCCTAAATAAACCCGATTAGTGCCCTATCAATTATGAACAGTGATATATAACGCTACCTCTAATAAAGTTCGCATTTCGCCCAAGTATGTCCATTCTTCTTCAGATAACAAGTACGGTTGGAGGTCAACGTCGGTTGAAGTGATCATTGTAAGAGGCGTCCGTAATTCGATTGCTGTATTTATCATATGGTATGTGGAATTCCAGCGAGTTACGACATCCAATATTGGTTTGATTTTTTTGACACCATTACACTCATCGCGCAATCTGAGGAAGTGGCTCATTTTTTGATTTGACAGTCTTATTGATTTAATGCATTTTCGAAGCTATAATAAAACAAAAGATTTAGCGCTGAGTATATTAAAATAATTATGTAAACTTCACTTACATTTTTCAGACATGTTGGGATGTTTTCATTTTCTATACCGTCCGCTGTCGGTGCGCAACACAACGTGGAGAGAGCTGATTGAATGGCTAGGTTCATTATATGGGCCAGGCATCGCACATGGTGTTTTTTATGATTGAAGTCAATGCCTTCCAACATCCACTTGTTCTCGAGTGCTTTCATCATTGTGGTATTGTTGGACGCATTATCTGTTACCACCGCTAGAATCTATAAAAAATCGTTGGTGAGACTGGTATGCGTAGTCATTGTTACAGCAAGCGTTTACCTTCTTTTTGATACCGAGTTCAGTCAATGAGTTATCCAGATAAGTTGAAAGGTGTTCGCCTGAATGTTTATTTTCAATATGTATGAAATCCAAAAGAGTGTTGTTCAGCTTAAATTTTTTGTCTACATAGTGTCCAGTTACACCCATAAAGGAAAGGTTATTGGGAGACGTCCACATGTCCAAAGTAATTGAGATTTTGGAGTCCACCAACTAAAAAAAAAAAAAAAAAAAAAAAAGGTAGAAAAAAGGTAGAAGGTAAGATAACTATGTTATTCAAAAAAAAAGGAAAAAAAAAAAAACTTGCCTGAAGCTGCGATATCAAGTTTGACCGATTGTTGTTGTAATTGTTGATGATTTGTGATCGTATCGTGACAGCTGTTGGGACAGCTACCGACGGATTCAGGTACGATAATAGGGATTTGAAAAAAGGTGATTGAACAACAGTAAACGGCTGGTCGTCGCTTACCAACCATTCTGCCAAAAGTACGTTGAATTTATCACTATCGAAAGCAAATTGCCTATATCACAATCAAATTTTAGTTAACTGATATATGCCTTTTCTTCTTCTTCATTTGTACTTACCTTTGGAAGATTTCATCAATAGTGGGTTGTGCTTTGTCATCTACATCCTTGATCGTTCTGTAAATTTCGTAATGCTTTGCCTTGAGATGCTTCCATTGACCAGAGGTGGATTTGTTTGTGCATTTGACAGTAAATAATCTGAAAATCAATGGTTAACAAAAACTCGTAACATTCTATTTAATATGTCTATTACCTGTTATTTTCCATACACAACATGCAACTGGCAGTATTTCCATCTTCGTATAAGGCAAAATACGTCCATACCGGACTACTTCGTTGTCGTTTTCTTGGAGATTGAGTTAGCAATTGAGGCGGCAATTGAGCTGACGATGGAGCTGACGATGGAGTTGAGGATTGAGTTGAGGATTGAGTTGAGGATTGAGTTGAGGATTGAGTTACTGGTTGAAGTGAGAATGGAAATGGAGATTCAGTTGTCAATTGAGTTACTGATTGAGATCCTGAATGAGATCCTGAATGAGAT